GGCGCGAGGGACTGCAAAAGTTGGAGAACCCAAGTCCTAAGTACCAAAAGGTGTATTGATAAAAGGATCGAAGATCAATAAACCACTAGCCAAGAAACAGCTGGAATTGTGTCAGCAGTTGGGGATGCAGTGGTAGTAGAAGCCGCCTAAGTATATATATGAGTGGGTTCACTTCATCATGGCATAACGGCATGAAATGACATCAAAAGCATTATAAAGGATCGATATACCAAAGCTTGTTCTATTTTGTTGGCACCAGCTCCATTTCCACTGTTGCCGCCCAAAGAATCCAAGATGCTTCCCCCGCAACATTTGCCTCTGGGTCGGCAGCCGGCGCAGGTGGCTCCAGGTTCTCCATTTTGACTCGGACTTGTGGGAGGTCAGGAACCTCAAGCTGTCGTTGGCCAGGAAACTTAGATTCAATAACACATTGCAATTTCAATCCGTTACTGCGTGAAACTTATGTATATAGATCATATATATTTATATATATGAAATTAACATCTTCTATATCCCATTTTATTGCTGTATCCTTAAGGTTTGCATTCTTGAATAACACATATCCACAAATGTTAATTGAAGAGAATTTCACCTGCATGTGACTTGCATCCAAATAACCTTGGATTGGTTCTGCATCACTTGCGCAATTGCTTTGGCCACCTGAAAAAGGGCAGCGTATCTTATCCCCAGGGCAATGTATATATAGTGACATTCCTTTATTAACAATTGTTGTTTGCCGTATATGACTGCGAACTCCCCAAGCCTCAGTGTAGTCTCGGGTTTTGAGGGAAAGGCCGGCAGCTCTGGCTGCAATGTTGATGCCTTCCTCCAAGGTTTGGCAACTCCAACCAGCTTCCGGCAAAGAAGTTACCGTGGAGTCCCTGGACATCCCGGCAAACCTACAGCAGACCTAGAACCAGCTGATACCAAATGGCTATGATTTTCAATCCAAGATCATAAATCCATTCACACACATTGACAGCTTCCACCATGTGCTTTCTGATTGATGCAGATTGATCACCAATTACAACTGAAATCTGAGGAGAATAGAGGTTTTTGTTTACATGGCAGTGGTTTCCACGCCCAGCTCACATTTTATGAAGCCATTTCGTGCAGCTTCATAGTCGTTCACCATGGGTCAAACCACGGTGATCACCGCAGTAAATCAGATTCCACAAAAGGCAGGCGCAACACCCCAATCCAAATACAAAATCTGTTGTGACATGTGTATTTTTGAAAAAACATTGATCAGTCCAGATGATTTTTGAACATAATCAATACACCCCAAAAACAACCCCCAAAAAATCTGTTTTTTTACGTAAATATTGCGTAATTTTTGCGCAAGTCTAACGTAATGGGTATGTAATGAGTACGTAATTCCAACGTAATCCATACGTAATGGGTACGGTTTACGTGTTTTCATGTCCATATAATGGTTATTCACGTCCAATTACGGATCCCTTTTTTTTGCAAAAAATATAGCTACAAACAGTTTTGAATGTTTTTGATTCCAACAGTGCTGATTTCAGATATGTTCAAACAGGTTTCATACGGAATGCAAAGTTTATACTAAAGTTCTCATCAAGTTAACTTCATTTAACTTCAAAATCATCAGTGGTTGAGAAGATTTGGACTGGCGTGTTCAACCTGCACCATTTTCCTATGGGCATCCTAGGCTTCTACCCTCTGAACGTGCTCAGAGGACTCTCTTCGTCTCTCGATGGAATTGAGTATCTCAAAACTACGGGGAAAAGCATCAGCCCACACTTCATGTAACATCAAATGTTTGTTGCCCCTCAAGTAGCGGAAGACTGGAATCAAGTTGGCTTCAAGCCAAGTACTAAATGGTTGTTGCTCAAGCGCCACCCAACCCATTAGATCGCGATCAACCTTTGGGCACCCCTCTGCACCATTCACCAAGCGTGGGAAGAGCTCTCGGATAGCTTCGCCAAATCCACGGGGATAACTCCTGGGCCAAAAATAAAAAAGGATAAATTGTTTGCAGAGAATCCTGATCTCGACAGTTATGATCCATGTATATTAAAATCCATTCACTGCAAAATCAATAATTGAGGTATGGACTGAGTCTGTTTGAGTTGGGAAGTCCCCGTGTATTGAGCTTTGCCAGTCTTGCTAATAGTCTTTCTGACAGTGACCACCTTGTTCTTTTCGGGTACGATAGTGTCACGGTGAAATTTGCCTCTATCCAGCCACTGGAAGGCCCGGTTGTTACACCAGCACTTTTCAGGTTTGGGCGTGGATGCTCCATAGTGGCCCATCCACCACTTCACTTCGTATACCTGAGAAAGGCTGGGGTACTTGAGAAAGGTTTGGGCATGCATTGGTCATGCAGGGTATATATATTAATTCAATTGCATGGTTGTTCTTTACAAGGATTGGTTCCGTATGGGCCGTATACTCGCATGCAATCGAACTCGATATCTTAAAACTGACTCTTGATGACTCTTGGTTTCATGTGCTGGTTAAACAATTGAAATATAAACTATTCCGTGGCCATACCTTTTTGGAATCTATAGTTTCAAACCGGAACCGTCAATCAGACCCAGAAAAAAAATATTATTATTATTATTTATAAAAAGCCAGGGAACTCTGGTAAGCTTGGCCAACCATTGAAAGCGAAAGTACTCACGCATGATCGAGGATCGTGGTTGCTCTAGCATGTATGACCCTCCACAGGCTATCGTCAAAGCGATGAGGAGGATAGACCTGAATTCGTTTGTTCATGTTTGGTTTCCACCCACGATTTTGACAAAAATTGTAATCTTCCCTCATGGATCAAACAATCCTACAAGATTTTCTAAAATTACAGTGAGGAGTCCTGGACGTCATGCAGTTGGCCATAGCGATATAGTGCTTGTCATCATCACCTTCTGGAAGTAGCACAGAGCGCTGGGATGTATATGCGTTCATCCGAACCCAGCTGGAGCACACCACTGCCCACACCGTTACAAAGTTGTCAACCCGGCACGATAGCAGCATGTGAATATACAGCCTTAGCTATATGTTAAATGCATGTTTAAAACCCTCATGTGGTTTACCCCCATAGAGCAAATCGATCAATATAAGGGCACTCCAATGAAAAATCTGAACCCAACTATTTTGTGTCTCCAATATATATACATGATTTTTGAATATAATTCATACCCTGAAAAAATGAAAAGAAAGGCAGCTACGGAACGCCAATCCGGCATTTGTATTTATGTCCATTGGATTCTGCTGCGATCCACCCTGAATGTACCTGATGTCAACCTTAGCCGCAGATATACCCTCTGCATGGACACATTGCCAAACCTGATTGTCACCCGCAAAAAACTCCACAAAGGACAACTCCTGCAAGTGTCCAGAGCTCTTGGTGGGGAACCCTATACTGGGCTATGGGCATACTATTCCTGATCAGTGCATGCGTCCATAAAATCAACCAAGGGAATTACCATATATAATTCTAAATTCACACGAAGAGTTGGGGATACAACATGAATTATCGATCATATAATGCATCATCGATTATACATGATTTCGGTCCTCTGCAAATTGCGGAAGATTTTCACTGAGCGCCACCATCACGACCAATGTTATGAAGACCTCATTTTGTAGCCAATGAGCCATTTGATCGATCTGGAAATTGTGTACCGATCCATAAATAGATCGATGCTTGATAGAGGCATGATACATCATTGATGTCATACCGATTCAATTGAGAACTATATAGTTCAGTTCAGGCTAAATTCTGTCAACTGAGTGGAATTATGCATGCAGCCAAGTAACCTTGGGGACTTGCATTGCCACAAGCCGTGACACTACAGTGCCAATGATGTTTCTGCCAGTCACCATGGCTCCAGGAAACGCTTTAACCCAAAAGCTTCCTTTAAAAAGAAAGGTACACCAAGGAACAAGGAATGGTGGAAGCTAGCCCAAATGATCCAACTGTTTTCATCCGCTTTTATCAACTGGAATGCGTGTTTCACATCACCATGTCTTTGTGCCAAACTGCATGGAGTTGCCTGAAGTGAACATGCATGCATAGATCAGTCTAATGACTGCAAGGGTAAACTCCCGTCGATCAATTTAATTCCACATGAATCATGTAATTTGGATGCATTAACCCTTCTTCGATATATCGATCACTTATAAGTTCAATCCCATTTTTGATCATATTTTGTTTTACTGGACCAAGATCCATGAACCCCCAAAGCGAGCCAAAGCAGCCTTGTGGAAACTTTGGCTTTGCACCATTCCTCAAGGAATTTCGATTCCCTTTAATGGGTTTCCGGACCTTTGGCCGAGGCATTTATGAATGCACCTGGCAGGAAACCCAAGGAAAGGGCTGGCAGGAAACCCAAAAAAAAATATTGATCGATCGTGTTTTCTTGTTGAGTGATGTTGATGCCACAAAAGAAACATGCTAAAAGTGATATATGGATCGATAACAAGCCCCACTGTCCATTTCATTTTTCTCGACATGGATTGCACATTGTTAGCGGAATGAGATCATGTGAACTGCCTTTGCAAGGATCATTTGATCATGCAACGCTAAGAGAGTCCACTTTGAAGATTGTCACGCCAATAGCGCGTGTGGCAGAAATGCTAAAAGTGGTAAAGCACACAGCCACCTTGATATCTATACAACGATCCACTCCCCCTCCCAAAGCTATATGCATGTATATTCATCACACAGCTTGCGTATATTGTTTTTGTATAGTATGTATAAATTACAAGGTCCAGAACGTGAAGTCATCCAAGCAGCTTCAGGGTCTATGGGGAATGGCGTTGTCAACATATCCCACACCCCATGACCACTCATTGCAATCCAGTAGTTCCCAGAACAAAGATCGATAAATCATGCAAACATGTGATTAATTTGCCATACAATTGGAATGACTTTTACAAGCCAAGACAATTGCCATGTCCATCATTGAAATAGAGATACCGATCATTGTAGATCCATGGAATCAGCATGAGTGGCCATCCCAAAAAAGAAATCAACTGTGTTGCTCCGATGGCTGACTGTTCCACTCACTGACCGCAGCGGCATGCGAGGTCTTCAAGACATTGCTGTAGTGGACCATGTGGTCGCAAAGCGGATCAGGCTTGCCCATGCGCTCCCATTCTTTAACCTGGGCATGGGAAATCAAAACCACATGAGGATTATAAAGATCATTCCAGCAAATTTAATCGAAAATAATATATACATATCGATTTAATTTAGTAAGCAGGGGTATGGAACCTGGAGATATAGCAGGCAATTACACAAACCATGCAACTATATATAAGTTCAAGTGCGCAATGATAATGATATATATTAATGAATGCAATCTAGAAACCCAAAGTCCACCAAGAACCTGGTTGCTGTATGGGCAGTGGGTTTTGCCACTGAAGTAGGTCACATGACCTTTCCCTGTGCCCTGGGCCTTCTCATTTGTGAAGAACCTTCTGTCCACCTTGATCCCACAAGCACTGCGAGTCATGTATGGCTCAACATCAACGTCCTTGGTTTTGATCCTCTTCCAAGTGGGGTGTGTGCAATGCGTTGCTGCGCATTCTTTGAGCATCGCTAGAACCTGGTCGCGGAAAGATTCATCCACCTCCGTCTGCTTCGTCCTCCTCACAGTCCTGGTCTTCTTGGCTGTCTCAGGATCCTTCTCAGTCTGCTTGGAAGCTCTTTTCTTGGTCGTCTTCTCAGGTCTTGCATTCTTAGTCGTGCCATCTTCCTCTGACTCAGCCTTTGCCTTCCTAGCCCGAGGCTTGGCTTTTGCTTTGGCTCCAGCCTTTTCTGGCTTTTCTTTCTTCGTCTTGCTTGTTTTCTTCTGTTCTGCTTCTCCATCTTCATGCTTAGCCTTGGACTTCGCTGCAGTCTTTCTGGATTTCTTTTCTTTCACATGTTTTTCCTCAGCTTGTTGATCCATAGCCTGTTCAGCCTGTACATCTTTTTCATCCTTTTGACATGTTGATGGGTCTGGGTCGGTCATGTTCTCTTGTTCTGCATGTTTCTCCTCATGAGAGTTGTCATTTGGATCAGTGTTGTTGTCATCAACTGATTGCTCAATCTTTTCCGATTCAGTTGTTTTTTGTGATCCTTTGCTGGGTGAGCCAAGTGCTTTGCTATACTTCTTGAGACGCTTCATCTGGCGGCTGACGGCTGGGCTGACATCTTGGGTCAATTCTTCCTGGGCATCATGTTTGCTTGCTTCCTTCTTTGGCTTCGTTTTGCTAGAGCTACTCTTAGATGGCTTCTCCTTCCTTTCACTCAGCTTGTCAGATGCCTTCCGACCTGCCTGTTTGGTGCTTGACTTGGCAGCCTTCTTACTAGCTGCCTTGGCAGCCTTCTCTGCTTCCTTTGCTACACGTTTGGCCTCTTTCTCTTCCTTCTTCTTGCTTTTCTCAATCTTCTTTTCTTCCTTCTTCTGTCTCTTTGCCTCCGCCCGATCCTTTTTGAGACGGAACTGTTTGCGTCTAGTCACGACCTCATGATCTGGGATGCTGACACCATCGTCACCAGTGGCCTCCACCTGTGGCACAGGTATATAGATCGATCTAAAATACAAACATTATCACACTTTATGTTTTGAGCATTATATATCAAGAGTATATATACTATAGTGGATCTGAATGGAAGCACCACTCTCATGTGAGAACATTGTAATTTGTTTTAACTTTACGGGGTTTTGTGAAACCCTACCTGCTCCTGAGTCCGTTTCTCGTGTTGATCCAGATCCCGTAAAGTTGCAGCAGCAACATCTGTAGATAGAAATGTACCGGGGCTACATGGCACCAAGGTCTCTTGGAAATGTGTGGCCGGCTCTGGGGGAAGCAAAGAATCTGAGACAATCAACATAGGACCCGTCCCCGATTGTTGGTCCAAACCTGCAATGGTTTTCTTGAAAGAAACGCCAAAGGTTAAAACAATGATCGATATTATGATATTATAGTATTGTAGAAATTCAATGAAATTCATAGTTACCCAATGTGAACTGGTTGGAATGATCGAGAACTATAGTGTCATGTATATGGTAAATGCATGCAACATTTAGAATCAACACTATATAGCTTTCATTAGCTTTCAGCTAGCACCAATCGGTATACGAGAAACTCTTCTTCTCATCCGTGGTAGCTTCCACGCCATCACCAGATGGTTCTTGTTGCCCTTGTTCAGGTTGCCTGGGAGATGGAATGAAAAGGGCCAACAAGGTGCACATTTGTGCATGTGTTCATGGGGGCCTCCATGAATCTTCAGGATTAAGTATATATGCCCATAACTGAAATTTATATTATAAAACAATGAGGAGGGTAGTGACAGCAAAATTTCACATCTGAATCTAAACATATCGACAAAAGACTGCTGATCTGTAACCATCAATCTCTGGATGGCAGTGATCAGGGTATTCAAGTCCAAAGATGGCATCCCGGGAATTCGAAGAACTGGTTTGTCACAAGAGCCTTCCTCATCAGAAGAGACAATGTCCACCACATCCTTGTCAGGGAACAAAGGAAAACATATAAAGTGTAATGTATACCACATGACCATGTCAGAAAGCCATACCAAGAGTCTACATGGTTTATAAATTGGATCTACATGCCTGAAGTTGTTGGGATCGATCACTCATTCACATTTCTATTCCGGTGGTATTTATATATAGCAATTTACATGGTGGGTCATGTTGATACTATAAAGTTAATCCTGCCTGGGCCGATGTGGCCGCGCTTGGTTTGGGGTCCATTTGTGGAAGGGAATCTGAACGACACGGAGTGGCTACTGCCGCTGATGCCCCCATACCAACAACCGGTGGTTTGACATCTGCTTCCGCAACAGGCTTGGATGCAGCACTTTGCTCGATGATAGTCCGGTCCCTGGGCGGACTTGGGATCTGAGGGCTGGCAACTGGCGGTAGAGGATGGTCAGGCAGTTGTTTTTCCAATTCACCCATAAGCTCACTCAATAGATCTGGTTCCTGAGTATCTTGTACGGGTCCAAGGGAATCAGCAAACAGGGGCAAGCCATCTGCCACAGGCTCTGAGTCTGTTGGTTGAGAATCAGATGATTCCTCTCCAGAGGCACGGGCACTCAAGGGGCACCAGTCCTGACAGGCAAATGGGTTTGGGCAACTTGCCCCTCCAATCTTGGTGTTTTGGTAATATTGTCAGTATCATGGTGCACTCTTGTTGAAAATTATGGGTGAATCAGGAATTACCCATTAGATCATATATAGCAAACCATTGGGGATGAGAAAATCCAGAGTCCAATCAACCCTGTGAATTGCTATAGCGCAGGTTCAATGTTTGCGTTTGGGATGTGCAGTTTTAAGGACAGTGTTTCAGATTAAATGCAATTGCACTTCAATATGGTTTTCGATTCTATAAAGAACAGGGATCCCCGTTTCATGATTTGATACAACACCACTTCCCCAACACTCCAATGAGATTACTTTGAATCATGCAGTTCCAGATTGATTCAAAACGTTTCAATTTTATATGCATCCACTTATACTGCATGTTAGATTTATATAGCTGTCTTTGCTCACATATATACTCACCCACAGGCCTCGGCCTTAGTGTTGAATCCCATTGCTTCGACGAGGTCTTTCAAGATTGGGTCCTGCAAACATCGATGTGGCAGACTTGGCACACCTGCCAAGTATTGAAAGTGTGACACTTTCAACACTTGGGAGGTGGGCAAAGGATCGTGGGAAAAGGGCCGGAGGATCATGTAGCCACAAAATAACACCAGGGCAACCCATGATTTCAGTGTAAGAAGAAAAAACAAACTGCAGAAACACTTGCCTATAAACTTATATACCGACTGTACTCATAGATTATGCATAGCCCTATATTTTCAACATGTGAGGTATTGATGGTATTGATAATTTAAGACCACAAGAAATTATATGTCCACCCAGTCTCTTTTTCACAAACACCGTCCTGAGGAGGGAAAGCACGGTAGATGAATTTTTTGGCTTTTCCAATCATCCGTCTAATCCCCCAACAATCTTGATAGATTTGGTCCCCTGACTTGGTCGCTTTGCACAGCATGTAGAACGTTTCAATTGAAGCATTCAGGGCTTCAATCGATGGGAGTTGCAAAAGATGCTTCTGCATCACTTGAAGCACAGGTTTCAGAACTGGTGCGTTGAGTTTAAGGTTCTCTACTGAGGCTTCCACGTAGTCAGCTTTCTCTGGCTTTCTACTGGTTGGGTTGCATCGCATCAAGAGACCAGCACCCTCCCTGATTCGATCTCTGATTGCAGGTGAATCATCCCACAATCGTGGAACACAATCAAGGGCAAATGATCCCACAACTGCTTTGGGTGAAGGAATTTCATTGGGTGACCTATCCCTGCTTGAAGCTCCTCCCTGCTTGGGCGGAGCCCCTTCAAACCGGACGCAAGCAACTTTTGCCACATCCATCTCACTATACCCTCGTATGCCAGAGCCACAAAATGATCTGCGTTGCAGGACTGCGCGAGGTGAACAATTCCTACATGTGAGCCTTGGCCTGTGTCACCTCTAGCTGCACCTGCATGGATCACTTATAGTATGACGTTTGGAATTGTTTGGAAGTTTTCATTGCTATGTTTTATCGATCAATCATGAATAGACTGATGTAACCTTTTCAGCTGTGTCCACAAGATTGATCCATGGTCTCAGCGTGAGAAAGGTTTCACAGAAATCAAATCCCAACATATCCCAAAATTGGACCAAAGATGCATCCCAAAACAGGACAGTGGTACTCGACCAAGGTTTGTTCTTGATCTGGATGTTGGCTTGCCATTGCACACAGCAACGGGCACCACATTTGCATGCAGTAATTAGAAGGCTCCCTATGTAATTTTGATTTGCTACTGGCTACTGCTAGTGTGGTTGAAGAAAGGCAGTCTTTAGCACAAAGCGTCATTTTGAACATGTTGCTGGTTACCTGACCTTTTCCATCGCAGGCCATGCTTTCAATTCTGATCTGCATACGTGCCTGTGCATTTTGGTAATTAGTGCATGTTTTGTTTATGTAACCAGTCCTGCTTAGTTAGATAGATCTTTTGTATCCCTATCCCAACAGAATCTATGCACAATGGATTTGATTTACGGCCAACCAAGAGTTCTGCGTTGAGATTGCCTGGAGCCTTACTGGATGAAAAGGCTAGGCCACTGATGCCCTTCCTGGGCTCAACCCGGCCTCTGGTGGAGAATGAACCGTGGGATCATAGCATATATGGATGATATCTATATCAGCTCAATGGAATTTTATCAAGAAAGAAAACAGCAATGGTGATACATCCTAGTATGTTGCATAACCCGAGCACGTTCCAGGGGCAAATCCAAAGAATATCTCATATATATGTAAATTGACCATTTGATCATATAGTTGATCCATGAATTTATGCTTGTATTTCAGTGTTAATATCATGGTTAACAACATGGTTATAGAAACATATAGAAACATTCCCAAACATGACCATTTTAAAGAATTACGGTAAAACACGTCCCGGACAACAATTCCTGACCATGGGTAGTGAAAGAAGGGTTTCTTGATTATGGACAGCAATAGGTGTTTCTAAGGCTTAGCAGGTATATTATATATTATATTATATATATATTCAATATGGTTTCAAGAAGATTCCGTCTATTGGAAGTGCTCAGCCGACAGATTGGACCCTTCATTCACCGGCGTCCACTTCTGTGCCATGCTTCTGGGCCCCATGCTAGTGACCTCAGCCGTGTCAACTTCGGTGAGAAAACTTTCTACAAGGACTTTAGCTGACTTGAAAGGTCTGGGTGCATGTCTTGTACGGGAAGCGCCTAGACTGCCTACATTGCCAAGACTGCTAACTTCAATGTCGCAACAGGAAGCAACAACCTTTTCTCCCAATAGTGCCAGATAATATTTGCAATGAGAAAATCAATACATAAACCTTAGTCCTATGGCCGACTTCTTTCTATGAGATCATCAAAGATCGCATCTTCTTATCTTCTTCTCAAAGCCAATGGCAGATTACATGAGAACGGAGACCTCTCGGAGACCTCTGGGCACTACGGACGGTTGGCGCAAGCGTCGGCGCTGCATTGCGTACATCTCGCTCTCGCGCGAAGCCTTTCTGACAAAGCAATCTTGTCATTCTCGCGAAGCATGGGAAATCTCCAAAGTACCCTCCGTACGTCTCAATACCAATGGCAAACCGACCATTTTGCATCACATGTCTTCGTTCCATACAGGTGACATTTGTTTCATCTTTGATCCAAGACCAGTTCTGGTGCTGACTTCCAGGGTCCAAACGGTTTGCTGCTCCAAGTGGCTGATATTTGCCTCAACTCCCCGCTGTGGTTCCGAATACAAAGTCGATGACAAAACCATTGATTGTGTTGACTAGTCTAGCTATGTCTAGCTGAACCAGTATTTCCGTAGTGCCTACCTGCCTACCTTGTTCTCTCAGACGGGAAAACGGTTTCCAACCAACTCATACTCAGTATACCCACCACTCCTTGCTCTTGCATCATGCCGGAATCATGCCTCCAAATCCAGGAGTTCTCGGGTGGCATCTTCTGCTTCTGCCACCTACAAGTGATCAGCTGAGAAGTGTCTTTCATCACGGCCCAATCACGGCATATCATGGCATAACAGCTGCCACTTCCGGCACAGAAATGGCAGTGGCTCAGCATTGCCGCTGTCAACGCAACGCCGCAACGTGCCTCGCTGCTCAACTGGACCTCTGCAGTTTTCAATTCTTCGTCCAAGTTTTGAGGCCGACCCTGCAGGCACCGGGATTTCACAGGGGAATCCTGCTGTGAAAAATTGAGACCCGGGACCTCCAAACTCCAGGCATTCCCGGTATTCCCGCTATTCCCTTGAAGATCTGGAGATGTGCTGTGAGATAAGTCCACAGTGCAGTGCTGTGAATGATTTGTTTACTGAATATATTATATTATATTAATAGAATATATATATATATATACACATATATATATATATATTATTATTGTAATTTATTGTATACATTATATACATCTTAGATCTCCTGTTCTAATGTCCCACTGACCATCACTGACCCATCTCGACAGAGGTGCCTTTAGCAAAGCTTGTGCCCGCAGCTCAGCAATTTCTGAGCTGATCGCCTTCCCATGGATGGCAACGATATCTTGGAACGATTCCAGGTGGAGTTGCAGTATGTTTTGTCAAAAATGGGTCTACAGCTGTTTCCACAGTGTTTCCACAGTACCACCGCTGCACTTGGGCCGACCTCACACTGTTCTGCCACGCGGGCAGACTGCTCTGAACGCATTTGTTGCGCTTCGTCCACAGCCTCCTGCTCCCGACCTCACACCAGGTCACACCAGGTCACAGCGGTAAGTGCTGTTTGGATCTTTTTGGGTGTGCACTCTTTCAGTGCAGTACACTGGAATCGAATCTACAAAATCCGTGCATTTCAATGCATGTCATCTTTATCATCAACTTGCATACTGATTTTGATTCAAACTTGGCATAGTTGTGTGGTGTTGTGTGATGCTTTATGGGCTCAGGGTCCAGCGTGCAGTGATCTCTGCAGCGATTCTTCGGCGCGTAGCACGCATGGTACTGATCCTCATTTTTTGTGACCACAGAAAGAAAAGGGAAGGTGTCATGGGTTAAAGTTTGAGCATGAAGTTGTAAGAGTTCAGAAGGCCTAGACAGAGATCAAACATGAACAGTTGCAAACGAGGAAAGTTGTAGCATAGTGGCATAGTGTTGGATCGAAGCTTTTCTGTTCACCTCACTATCTCAGCTTGCTATGTTTTGGATTGATCATGTTAAAATCAGGTGTACAATATATTATATAAATAACTTGCATTCTATACATACATATTTTATATATATATATGATATATGTATATTATATGTTATATGTGATATGATTTTTTGAGGTCCATTTTGTTCCTCACCCGGCCCTGAGCCCCCAAACTCCGCGTTGCGCGCCGCCTCCTCTGCCGTGGCATAGCGCGCCCGGCGGCCCTCGAAGGCATCCCGCAGGGCCGCCGACCTGGCCTGCTCTGAGGCGATTTCGCTCTCCAAGGAACCTCCAAACGAAACGACGAAACGAAGAGAAACGAAGAGGAAAGAATCTCTCCAGTTTCGAACCCAAAAACACGGTTTTAGTATATTTTAGTATCGTAGGTGAAAGATGATGAAATGTGATGAAAGTAAAGATATTATACATGCCGCCACTCCGGATTTTTGTGGAAATTCTGTCAATCTGCTGGAAATGTAAAATGAAAAATGATCAGAAGCAGAGATTCATAGAGATTCTGATGAAGATGAAAGTGTCATGAAGTGTCTCTGGCACCGCCACACATCACTGGGCAATCCGCACCATTGGATCTTCGCCAGCCCCGAATCTCCATTGCGACTTCACGTGCTTCGCGGTCTTAGTGCGGCTATGGATCACCGCTGAGGCTTAAAACTTGGGCCTACATTCATGGAGAATATGGAGACCTGGGCCTACTTTCAGAAATTTTCAGAAAGAGGGCCAGAGAATATCACGTCGGCGCACTTTCCGGCAGAAAAATACCCGTGTGACAATATCATTGGCGCACTACAACAACAAATCACAGAGAAAGATTAACTGTTATCTTCAATCTATTTGCCAACAGACGATCCCCAAGACTAACATTGGAGCGAAAGTTCTGCATGCAGCGGGCAGCCAGCTGAGACATGTCGCGAATACTTGAATTGCTGGGTTTCCGACGTTTCTCATCAGACTGGAAATGCAGAATCAGAAAGGGCTGGAACCAGAACAGTTTACCAATAAATCATTCAGGCAAAAAAACACATTAAAACTCATGGGAATTGACCAAAGAATTCCGAGAAAATCTGGATGGAGTCAGCAAAGCACAAGACCAGGACGGTGAAACAACATGGAAAAGTCCATCCAATCCATTCCTGCCTTTTCGATATTCTTGCGTACCAGCATCTATAATTTATAAGAGTTACATCACATATGCTATACTTTGCCCATATCACCAACTGTATCATGTGAGCAATCTCGAAAACCCTAGGTTCACGGAAAGGACATCCACAGATTTGGGAAGGTCCCATCGCTTACCACACGTTTGTACAATAATCATATAATAATATATGGTAAACTTGGGGGGTATCGCTTGCAGGAAACTGCTACATGTTTATATAAATAATCCACAGAATTCAACGTCCAATTTGGGTATCGCTAATGTGGATATTAGAGAAATACAATGACATAACCTTGAGAAGGGGTATCGCTAATTTGGGAAGGTCCCATCGCTTACCGTGTGTTTTTAACAATTTCCATCAATTTCCATAAACCAATGTCCATCCAATACATATTTAGTATTGCCGGGGTTTTTGCGGGGGCTCATGTATAGCCAAGGAAACGTGCAAAATCAGCGGCTCCTTGAAAATTTTGAAAGGGAAGATGGGAAAATTGAAAACATCTTTAGCAACATGTGAAATTTGAAGATGCTTCTGAGCATTTGAACAATTTGAACACACCGTGCCCACTGACCTTCACCTCCGAATATTTCCATCCACTGGTACATGAGGAGCTACATGCCAGAATGAATGCAACAGCCCACTGCACCTCCATTTCCTCGTAATTTCGTGTGTTCTGCAAGGCCTGCAGTGCAAACATTAGAAGCCAAACCCAGACTGGCCCAGATCATGTGAAAAACATGAAATTTGATATTTGCTCAAAATGCGGACTGAAAACTCGAAGCCACCCACATACGATACCAGTAAATCCGCCCACACCGCTTTGGCGGTGAAGGCGTGCTTATTGGGGGGCAACAGCAACACTAAATGCTCAATGACATTTGTTAATATAGCAGTCGCTATATCAGCTTTAGCTGGGGGGGGGGGGCCCAAAAACGGTTTCGCACCGAGACCAGACCCCAAAAACGGTTTCGCACCGAGACCAGAATACGGTGGTGTTTTCGACATTTTTCGAGGATTTTTGGGTGTCTGAGCGCAAGAGGGTATTGAAATGGAATTTTGGGTCATTTTGGTAGCTTTCCGGCAATGGAAAAACGGCCAAAAATGAAAAAAACATTGTACATAGCAAGATTTTGCAGGGTTTTTGGATGCCAGAGCATTGAAAACACTGCAAAAACAAGTGTTTTGGACTGACGTTATAGCAAAAAACGTGTAAATTACCGTATGCTTGACTGGAAACATTACAAAAACACTGTCAAAAGCAATGTTTTGGAAGGATTTACTGCCTTTATGGCAAAAAACGTGTAAATTACCGTCTGTTTGACTGGAAACATTGGAAAAACACTGTCAAAAACAATGTTTTGGAAGGATTTCTTATTGAAACTTCTTAGCTTGAAGAGCCCCCACGGGGGAAAACCACCCTTAGCCCCTCTCACGGACCGAATCCGCCCACACCGCTTTGGCGGTGAAGGCGTGCTTATTGGGGGGCAACAGCAACACTAAATGCTCAATGACATTTGTTAATATAGCAGTCGCTATATCAGCTTTAGCTGGGGGGGGGGGCAAAAACGGTTTCGCACCGAGACCAGACCCCAAAAACGGTTTCGCACCGAGACCAGAATACGGTGGTGTTTTCGACATTTTTCGAGGATTTTTGGGTGTCTGAGCGCAAGAGGGTATTGAAATGGAATTTTGGGTCATTTTGGTAGCTTTCCGGCAATGGAAAAACGGCCAAAAATGAAAAAAACATTGTACATAGCAAGATTTTGCAGGGTTTTTGGATGCCAGAGCATTGAAAACACTGCAAAAACAAGTGTTTTGGACTGACGTTATAGCAAAAAACGTGTAAATTACCGTATGCTTGACTGGAAACATTACAAAAACACTGTCAAAAGCAATGTTTTGGAAGGATTTACTGCCTTTATGGCAAAAAACGTGTAAATTACCGTCTGTTTGACTGGAAACATTGGAAAAACACTGTCAAAAACAATGTTTTGGAAGGATTTCTTATTGAAACTTCTTAGCTTGAAGAGCTCCCACGGGGGAAAACCACCCTTAGCCCCTCTCACGGACCGAAATAAACCTGCGGTGTGGGCGGCCACCCCACGCGAAGCGGGGTGAATATTGAAAGTTTCTTTAAGTTTCTAATCAAAGCCAGCCACTTGAAATGCTTTGTGATCCTTTTTGCGTAGGAAACGTATCCGATTTCCACCTCTCGCCCTCTCGCCCTCTCGCCTCGATTTCTTGCCGCTGTTCGTCGATGATTTCCTCATGACCTGAGAGGAAGGTCGCAGCTCCCACTGATGTGAAGGGCCAACAAGACACGTCGAAACGAGTCGAAACAATTTCTAAATTAGTTACGACATTAGTTACTATGAGTTAGCATTTCATCATTTCAAGATATGTCAGGACATTACAATATGTTCTTATATGTTCTTATATGTTCTAATGACATCACATGTTTTGGCTCTCCATGTGACTCGCACAAACGTGCCCCGGGCACCTCGAAGCTTGTCCTGCGCCTGAACCTGATAGGCGATTTTGGTGAACTTCAAGGTGAAACGGTGAAACGTTCAAAAGTTGAAAGGATCTTGCAATCGACGATCGCTACAAAGACCTACAAAGTCTTCAACCAAGTCCTGAATATCTTGAAGAACTTATATTAACTTATTAGGTCCGCGTGACACATCTGGATTCTGCATGATTCCGAGTGTCATCGTCCCATCCCTCGGGGCCCGTAGCCGTAACCTTCACCGCCGGTCCCACCTCATCATCCTTTCGTGTGCCCCGTAGTCGTTCACCTCACGGTGAGCTACCGAACACGATATATACAGCTGATGTACAGCTGCGTTTCGCGTTCTAAGTACAAAAAGAACCCAAAAGAGTCGTTCTGCAAATTCATGTCAGAAACCAAATTTGATGGAGACGGAACAAAACTCACATCGGGATAGAAGAGCAACTCACGAGTTGACACTGGCATGCACACGCCAATGAGCTCCAATAAGCTATTGGAGAGTACAAGAGGCATAAAAGTCATGCGGGTAGGAACCAGGAATGAAATTCTCCCAGTGTTTCCATCCAAAAACGGAGCTTCTTTGAACCATGCCATTCGCTTGCTCGTTGGCCAAGGGACTTGGAGCAGCTTTCCGTGCTTCATTCTCAAGCCTGGAACAAAACGCATCTGATATTCTGAAAATTTCTCAAAATAACTTGCGCTTCTGCCAAACGATATTCGATTTGGATTCAACCAGGTGTTTGATTTTTTAGATTGAAAGTCTGAGCTCCTTTGTCTCCTGCATTGAGCAATACGGGTAGAAAAAATGGAGGAGGCAAGCACATGTCAGTAACTAGTTGATTATTTCTCAGTTCGGTCGGCAAATCAAACATCAAAGCCACACACTGTGACATCAAGTTGATGAATTCTTCAGATCAACAAACATGCCAGACTCTCTCCCGCACCACTGCCATCCTCACCATGGTGTGACACCAGACATTCAGGTTCAAGTCAATGGTTCAATGGTTCCATAAGAATTAATAGCATTCAAAGCTTTCGATCCAACTTCTGGAAACCTGATTGAAGCTGGCATGGCCGAATACCATATCTATGTCACTTGAAAAAGAAACGCACGGTGACGGCTCTGAATCTGCTGGACATGCACCGCACTGGGCATATCTGGGCATGGGGTTCACCGGGTTCACTGTGACTATCTGTGATTCAGTAGGAATCCCAGCTCTGCAGCATTGGAGCGACCCAACTCTTCTGCAAGACTTCGCAGAGTTCGGATCTCGGCCTGGTGCCACACGAGCCAAACATGTCCCGGATTGAGAGAAACCTTTCCCAAGCAATGGCCCAATGGCAAGTATCGCCAAGTCCGACCAAGTCCATTCTGATTCGGCAAGATTCGGCAATGCAACCCAGATTTTGTGCCTGTGTCCCCAAGGCACGACTCATGCTTCATCCATCTTCATACTGGAACTTCACCATTGGCACAATCGGTGTTCTCACAACCACCACGATACGAACCCTACAGACCTCCAAGTCACCGCGAGTCGGCAGTGGACCTTGCTGACTTTTGAAGATATCCTGGCAGCACTTCTTTCGGTGTCAATTATCTGTTTGATGTCCAAGTGTTCGTGTGGACGGTTGTTGCTCCTCATGCTACAGATTTGTTGGTTGATGTTAGTTGAAAAGTGAGAGATGTTAGATGATGTTAGTCATAAATGAGTCCTGCTAGAGATGTTCAACAGATTTCAACAGATTTCAAGAGTTTCTTTCAGCATCTTTCAGCATCTTTCAGCATCTTTCAGCTGTCGTGTGCAGCCTGGCCAGCTGCGAGGGATGGATGAAGTCGACCAGCCTGGAAACGGTGCCGTCATCCGTCAGGTTTGACGGATGACGGCATGTGTTCTATTGTGTTCAACCTGTTCTGCCCACGAA